GGGAGATATGTTCACTTTAGAATAAACCTGGCTTATATAATATTTGCCTCTTTTCTGTAGTTTACAGTGAAAGCTATTTGTCAGTCTGTCTGTCCATTTCCATTGCAGATTTCATTGCAATTACAGGCAGAACTGACAGGCACCTTCCCTGTTTTGTGCCATTGCAGCTCAGTGTCATTCATTCAAGACAGCATGAAAAGACCAGCACTCCTAAACAAATGAAAACAAATGTTTTATTTACAGGAAAAAATCTGTACACTGTGCATACATAAAAATATACAAAAATCATAATAGAAAATATAAAAAGTGTTAAAATGTATACAAACACTGCTTAAAAATGTGACTCCTGTAAAATCTGAAGCTTTGTTATTAGAGTACACATTCATTTAAAAAAATCATCATACAAAATAATTCTCAAAGCTATTAAAAAAGTACACAGTCTATATTTGAATAGTTTGTTGACTACATATTATAAGAGTGATGAGAAGATATGGATAAATGTAAGGCTTTTACACACAACTCTTATTTCAAGAACAACACTCTGAATCTGATCACTAAGCCAGAGAGAAGAAATTTGCAGTGTCAAAATTCATTCAAAGATGCAGGTATGCCCAGACGTGAGCTGCTTTAAATCTGAAACAGTTAAACCAGGTATCCTCCTTGTGTGTGAGAGGATTGCTGCCAGGAAGGATTCAGATGCTTTCTAGTGACAGTCTTCTGAATTACCTACTTCAAAAAACCATTTCATTTATTTAACAGGCATCAACTTGAGAGAGCATGAAGGGGAAAAATAGTAGACATTTATTTTTGCAGTCAATGCATTTAATATTCCTTTCATGGTACGTGTCACTGTCCAAATGGCACCTTCCATTGTTGAAAACTGCTGAAGAAAGAAATTAAAAAGGAAAACCCCACTATGGATAGGATGGGTCTACATGTATTTTGAACTCTTGTTTAATTCAAACCATCTCTAACATTACTGTGGTTCAATCTTTCTGACCACTGAATTTAAGCTCTTGTCTTCATTTAAGAAAAAAACTGTCTCAGTTTTGCTGACCTTGGCAAGAGAACCACAGCAACAAGTACAGAATTTGGATGCTTTCACCAAAGAAAGTGTCCTGACCAAAAACATGCAATGATTTAGCTAAATTTGTACACAGAGAGTGTAGATTAGAGTATGTAAATCACCACCTCTCTCTCCAAAGGTGTGTATTTCTTACATCATTGTGATTTCACTGACTTCACCAGAATTTCAACAGCATAAAACTGCACAGCAAGGTAAAAAAAGAAACCTTAGTAGTGTAATCTAAGGAATGACTGAGCTGTGAGTTTATGCTGAGGTAAGCTTTAGAACTCTAAAAGAATGGAACAATTAATAACTTTTTCTAGCAAAAATTATTTTGGCTCAAAGTGAGGCAAAATTCTTCTTGAATAAACAGAAGAATACCTTGATTTAATCATCCAAAGGCTGAATGCATAAAATGGTAGAGCACCACAAGTTAGAAAAGCTACAGAATTCACAGTGGAAAAAAAGAGCATCATGAAATTCAGCCTAAACTCGGCACATTTCCTTAAGCTGCTGCTGCATTTCTGGTTTGTTCAGATTAAGTGCAACTGTTGTCCACAGACTGGGGCACAGAAATGAGGCTCAATAGTCTTTGAAAGCAACTTTTTCCTACTTGTCAGTAAACTCTTGAAAGTTTAAAACCTGCAACACTGCAACAAGTGTGAAATGAGCTCAGGAGTCCCTTACCAGAGGCATTGGCTTGGCTGATGAGACACGTCAAGAGGCAGATTCGGGCAAATCTCTGATCTGTGGTGCAGTTTCACTCTGTTAAGGTGAGACAGCCACATGGCCAGGCTATGAAGCCAAGCCTTTATCTTTTTTTTCCCCCAAGAAACCTACAATCTGAGTGGGAAAATGCATTTCCTTTCACATTATCTGCATTTATTATAGGTATCTAAAACCAGCATTCTCACACACAGTTTTAGATTTACTGAAGTTCTTTGTTAAGAACTTTCTGCCCTTGTGAGGGATGAGGAAATGCCCATAAATGCAAAAATACTTGGTGTGTGCTTATAAAAGCCACCAATGCCAATGCCACACAGTGTAAGCAGTGATGAAGGGAGCAGCTCTCCCAGCTCTCTCTCAGATCCTTTATATTCTCCAGTTACTTTTGCCCCTTCTCCTCTTGCAGCAAGTAGAGGTGAGCCCTCAGTTTCTAAATCAGGCTACACTTGCACTTCCATCAAAAGATTGAAGGAGGACAAGACAAAGTAGGGGAGTAAAATCTTTTCAAGCAGCCACAAGGTGTTTGAGCAGGCAGAGCAGTGAAACATCACAGTGGAAAACAGTGTTGGGAAGCCATGCCAGGGAATCCTTATGTTTTTCAAGAAGATGGGTATCACAGGTTGGTCTTCCTCCTCTGTGTGCAAGTAAACATTTGCATCCCAGCTCTGCAGCATCTTCTGAGGTGATGGTGCTGCAGTACCCACATTTGCACTTGTGGAAGGAGCACAGATTTGCTGTGTGAGTCAGAATACAACAAAGAAAGAACTTCTGCTGGGAGCACTTGTGTGTGCAAAATCCAGCAAGTTAAAAGTATACAATTAATTTTATAAATCTCAGCCCTGGTTCCACATTATTATTTAAATTATGTATTAAGTAGGTATACTTAACAGTTATTACATGAAACTTTATGGCCTTGTTCTACACACATAATGCTGCTGTGGGTAGTTGAGTAATGCAGTTACTGTTTGTCTTCTTCACAAAAATCAAAGTTAAAGACTAGTGGTTGCAGAACAGTGAAAGTGATTAGCTTTTTTTTTTTATTTTCAGAACTTTTTCCTGCTTATGGAGGAGTAACATATTCACTAATTCTATAAAGCTAATCAACTCCTTTCCTTTGCAAACACATGGTAGCTAACCCAGAACACAGTGAAGAGACATGTTTGATTGCATTGTTCAGACTTCATATGTTTTGCAAGCAGAGTATCAAACATATGAAAAAAATAGATTAGTTCTATGTAGGTTATCTATTCTCCACCAGATTAAATAACAGCATTACTAACTTTAAGAATAAAAGTTGCTGCCATACATAACATTACAAAGAAATCAGCTTGTGATATATCCAGAGTTTAAGGGCAATATAAGTAAAATGTATTCATTTTGTCATGTACTACAATGATTTATGGACATAACTATCCACGCAACACAAAAGTACAGGTTTTAGATCATCTGGTCATACTTTTCTGTGAATAACAAGCATCTTAAGAGGATCATCAAGCCCAAATTACGAGACTATGTAGGAAAAAAAGGCCTAAGTCCTACATAAGACACATACTTTTAACTTTTGAGGAAGGAAAAATCTTCAGACCCCAAGAGCAGAGTGAGAGAAAGAAGATTCTATTATTACACTTATGTTACTATTGAAGAGAAAACAGTAAATAATATTGTTTGCACTCTTCAATTGTCTTTCTGTTACTTATGACAAAACACAAAAAATATTTTCCACCAAAATCACTGAGTGCCTCTTTGAGGTCTCAGCATTTTTACTGAATGGACTTGAGTACGATGTAGATGTGCTTTTGTGTACATACTTTTCAGCTGACACTGATTCTGAAAGAAAGGTTACAGTCTTGAGGTGGGGGGGAGGGGGGAGACCCCACATCACTAACATCTTGCCACTTGGAAAATCTGAAACTGGAGTCTTGACATGGAAAGTAATGTTTTAAATATATTACCAACCAGGCGGATTTTTAGAAGTACCTTAGAGAATATTCTCATTGTGTTATGAAGGAAAACATATCTCCTATTTCCAATCCATAGTCAGTGTTTAAAAAAAAATGCTGATATTCTCTTCTTTTGTTAGAAAACTCCCTAAACTTTCTTAACAGCAGTAAATTGTGAACAAGTGAGCTTGACTCAGATCCCAGTGAAATACCTAAAAAATGATGTCTGGAATCCTGAATGCTATCTTTGCTGCAGAAAGGTGAGCTCCCTTTATGCTTGCTCTTAGTGTTATATGTGAGAGCTGCACAACACCCCTTGGCTTTCTCTGGATCTTCTTTATCTGTGCAGACCGGGGGAAGGCAACATTTCCATCTCGCTTACACCTTTGTGACAGGCCTTGCAGGGAGAGTTTTTTCCCAAATGGGTTATAAATATGTTTCTTGCTCTCTACAGAAATAAGACATTTCTCTTTTCCCTCTGCCCTGTGCAGTCAGTATGAGCATGAGAGTCTGGCATCAGAAATACATTCAGTAGTTTAACTGATTTAGCTGTGTGTACAGCCATCTCCAACTATACTGCTTTCAGAGCCCCCTGGACAGCTGGAGGTCTGCAATTGAGCCTGCATATGAACAGGAATTCAAGTCTACTCTAGCCAATGACTACACAGCTCAGAGTAACGATTACTTCATTCTCGGAGAGTGTGAAAACCCCATGGAGCCATGAGAAACGCTGCATTGTTCAACTGGCCTCCCTGTACATGAGCAATAGAGGCTGTTTCACAATGCCAGATTTAACAATTAAATTAGTTCATTGAAAAAAAAGTTACAGTCTAGCATATGTGGCGTAAGAGAAGACCAACAAATTCTGACAGCCACACCCACAACAATACATTATATTTCTGTCTAAATATGTCCTTTGCGCATTTCATGAGCTAAGCCTTTTTTTATTATTATTTTCTTTTTTTCTTTAACTATCTGCAAAGCAGTAATAAATACTCAGGCTCAGAAAAGAAGTATTTCTCATGCCTGCTACTTAATTACAATTTATAGACTCAAGACTAGATTGGTCTAAGACACAATTTTCAAGTATTCTTTTGTTTATAGTACAACAGTAGTACCTTATTGCACATTGTTTCTGAAGGACTTTTTTCTACAAGTTTGGGAACTTATTTCGTTCAGGGCACTTGACAGCTTTGAACCCTGGCAAAATTACTTTCCCCTTCCGATACAGATCATCCTGCAAACCTTTATTCATCCTCTGCACCAACAGCTTCTCGTAGAGCAGTGGGTGGTAGGCCCCTAAGGTACAAGCTGCATCATAGTAGAGTTCATGGTAGTGGCACAGGTCGGTCTGTCGGACTGAAGGGATGTACTCGTACACGTGCACTTCGTTACACATGGACATCATGATGAGGATACCTGGAGCAGACAGTGAAAACAAAAATGACCCCCGGATTTCACCCATGCACAGAAATTTCCCTGTACTGATCCACACTGTTTGTCTTTCCTGCTTTCCTTCAGCACTGCACAGCTTAAGTCCTACTTCTGTAAAATCATTTAGTGAAGTAATAGTTCATTTTATTAGGGCAGCTTTCACTCGTCATTGATGCATGAATTCTGCGATCCCTGTAGTTGATGGGGTAGGGCAATGAGCATAAGGAAAGAGTAAAAAGCCTATAAAGGGCTTGCATACCACTATCAGCCTTCTTGAGTGAGAAGGCTGCCCTCTCCCATCTCCCCCCATTTACACCATCCTGTCCACAAAATATCCCCCACAAGAAGCAGGGACCTGATGCAGCTGCATGCTCATTCTTTTGAGTCAGCTGATTGCTTTTCTTGGTTTTCTTTTATATTATCGATTCCTGAAGTTATTTAACAAGGCAGGTTAGGTCTTTACATTCACTTGCAGAATACAGAACACATACACACAAAGCAGCTGTCTGGTGTTTCTAAGGACCTCTTCCTGCTATTTCTACCACTTCCACAGCTAAACTCTGACATGCTTTGTACAGAAGTTTTTTTAAAAGAACACACAAGTATGTCCTTTTCATCCTCTGCTGTGTTTTAAACATCTGTATCTTGCAAATATTTACATACACACTAATCTTAAAGCCTATGGCAAATCTGACTGATTTCCCTCCCTTCCCTTCCCTCCCCTTCCCTTCCCTTTTCCGTGGCAAAGGGAAGTAAGAATAGAAACATGGGCAACCCATGATTCTTCTCTTGACAACTTTTGAATTGTTCGTTCAGATCATTGGCAGTACTAGAGTATCAGCTGAAACCCCTTGACACATCATCTTATTACAGTATTGGTCCTTCTTAGTCTGGAATTGATCCAATTCCATTTTTTCTATCCACTTGCTTATCTCTAGCAGGAAGACATTACCTAGAAGGCAGCCTAAATACATGCAGAAGAGTATATAAAGAAGCATCAGCCATTTATTGGTGGCACAAATTCCCACAAGCCTCCGACTATTTTGTGGAGTCCCATAGCGAAAGGATGAGGAAGGTGAATTCCTTCTCAGAGCAGCACTGTCACAAGGAAAAGCCCCTGACCACCTTCCTTTCAGCAAGGAGGCATCCACAAAATGTCAAGCCATATTTTTCCTGCCACATACAAATCATCAGCACGGACAGCAGCAGCTAGGAAAGGCCATATGGAAATCAATGTCCTGTTTAAAACCAGGCAAAGTTCGGTTTGTGCTGTTACTCTCCTTATCTATGCTCAAGGTGAAAACTAGAGCAGGACAGATTGAGGAGGAAGATAGGTGAGCATATGCAAACTTTGTTCTCCTACAGCCCAATTAAAGATCTGTACTAACAGAAGATCTTTATAGCTTTGAAATGAGGGAAATCTTACTGTTGTGGCTGCACATTTTCAAAGAGACTAGTATCAGATATTGATCAACAGCACTGTCTAAACTGCAATATTTTCCCATTGATCACAAATTCTAGGTTTCCTTGCCATTTTCATGTGAAAGAAAATGATGGAGTAAGCATTAGACACTTTTTTTTTAAAAAAAAAAAGGTTTCACTTAAAAAATAAAAATATATAGAAAGTGTATTGAAGCACTTGTTGCACTAATGGTATCCCTATATGTTGAATATGAGTGTCAGCTCTCAGAGGAGACAGCTGTACTAATCTTCCTCCTTTTGCACTTGAAAATGTGAACTGCTGTATTTGTTGTTTTTTTTCTGTACAAGAACTTTGGAATCATAAAGCATCAAAGGTGTTCTGTGTAATTCTCACAGGTGACATAAATTAACATAAAAATTATTTTGTTTTGTTAATTAAGCAAAGCCATTTTCTGAAGTTTATTTTGCAGTGTGGGAACACAGAGATTTTAATGGCTTGCTAATGAAAAGAACCTTATGTTCTCCCTGCTGTGTATCATTAGATTATCAAAATTATTTTTTCCCTGCCTGATGTCTGAAGTAACTAGAAAACAATTGCTTCTGTGATTAAATCTTCTTTTATCATAAATGAAAGGTTTTAAGACCATTCGACAGCTTTACACTCTACAGAATCTATGGTTTCAGCAAAGCTAGGCATACCAATTTCAAGTAAAAAGTCCCAAAATTTAACTGAACACAGTGAAAAAATATTTAAGTCCTATTTCAGCAAAAACTATGAGCTTAATAAACCGTGTTTCCTTGCCTCCAAGCTGTTGCAGAGATGCTCTGATTTGTAGCTTGCCTAACAACTATGACTAGAATTGTTTTGTTTGTTTCAGTTTTACAAATGCTTTCGTCAGCTTTTCCACTGCCAGCCTCCTTTGTCCACTAATGGAGAGCCCACCTGCCACTCCAAGGTAACTGTTATCCAGCTAAATCAGAGGATGGATGGTGGAATCACGTGCAATAACAAACCACATCCAGAAACAGACAGTAAAATGACTTCTCTTCTGCATCCACAGCAAAACCTGGAGCCAGTTTCAAAAGCTGCACCACCAGTGTCCTAGGAAAATGGGCTCTGACAGAAAGTACACGCCTTAAGCAGAGTGTTTTGTTTTACTGTTGCATTACCCAGCTAACCTTAAAATTAGTAAAGGAAGTTGCCGTTTGTGGGATAGGAAAACTGTCAAGAACAAAAACTGTGACTCTTTAATAATTTCCTTAGTAACAGTAAAGATAGCCAGATCACTGCAGGTATGGCACAATAATGACAAAATGTTAAGTAATGTCATTGAGTTTCCTGTAAATTAGGTAACGGAGAACTTAGAACTAGTAGTTTTAGATCTTAGTGCTCTGTGGATCGATGTCCTCCAGAATCAATCTTAAAAGCACGCTGGGCTACCTATTTTAGCTCCTTGCCTTTCCTGCTTTGGTCCATCCAGTCCATGTCTTGGGATCTCAGTTTAGGTTGCTCATAAATAACCATGATTTCTGACAATCTACTCAAGTTTTTGCTTATACTGCACAACAACAACTTGAAGGAGGAAAGAAAGTGAATTGACAGGCTAATTTATGAGTTGGTAACATAATTTACAGCACATCTTTGTGTTAAAGTCTAGGTTCCAACTGAAAGCTGAGTTAAGACAACGAGTAGAAATGACCACGTACAGAGGTGTCCCTGGGCTACAAAGGCTTATCTGTCCTAGTAAAAATGGGAACATTCCCTAGGCTTCTGGATCTGGTGCACATTTCAAATGCTTAAACTCTGTTCTGGCAAAAAACTGCAGCCAGAGCCAGGTGTTTTCACTTTTAGTACCTCTGACATCACAGACCACTACAGACCAACAGTGCAGTATGACCAGCAGTCCCACCCCAACCACTTATGGGCAAGATCACAGGGCATGCAGGATTACACACTCAATCCACATGCAGCCAAGGACATAGGTCCCTCCACTTAGCAGTCACAACCCCCATATGCTCCCATGGAATGATCTGTTTGTGCTGTTTTGTTCAAAAACAGAAGGTGGGGTAGCACTGTATTAAAGACAAAAGGGAAAAAAAACCAACCAAACAAAACTCTATAGTCTAAAATAGCAAACAAATGGGTACCTTAGAGGCTGCAACCTCCCCTCCACAGGGGACAGCCCTTGTGTTGTCCAGCCATTACTGAAATCTAAATTCACAGAAAACATGAATCAAGCATCTTTCAAAGAACAGCAGCAGTTTAACCATGAGGATGTTCACACCAGTCATGTACTAGGATATATTAATGTTTTTATTCTAGTCCTTTATAATGCTGTGCCTGGCTTGATTTTCCTAAGTCTCTAAAACAGGGCTTCCAGCAGAGCTCCGTGTGCTGTGAGTCTCATGTTCCAGCCCATGTTTTTTAGTGCCACTCTGTAACTCAATTTCTCTCTCTGCTTGGTGTTAAGAACATTGCAGTGAGTTACTGACATCTCTGTCTAGCAGGTCTGAGTGTGCCAATCTGCCTGTATTTTCATCTACCTCACAACTCAGTCACCCTATCTTCCCTTCTCTCTCCAGTTACCTTCAGTGATCTTTTTGAAATTACTAATAGCTTTTTGGCACTTACATGATCCCCAAAATACTTCTTAAATTACATCTAAACATATTTGGATACAATCTAAAAGACAAAGAACAGATATGCACCTCACCGCTTGCTGACCCGATCTTGCTTCTTTTAGCCTGTTTTGTTGGCCAGTCTGCTCTGTGAAGTCCTACTTTGTTTCTCACTTGCATCTTTGCATATCTCTCTCTGTGTTAACCTGTAGTTTCCAAGTTTACTTCCTTTCCCTGTAATGTCTGCACAGTACATGCCTATCTACTTCCTTTGTCTGTGCACTTTGTACATCACTGCTCAATTTCATATAATCCTTAAGTTTGTTTCATGCCTCAGCACCCCTCCATGATCATCAGTATGAATGAAAACCAAAGTTTGATAGCACGTAGGGTAAAAAAAATTGTGTGACACACTTCAACATTTGTTGTCGCTCACAGTCCCAAGGTTAGTTTTCAGTCAATGCACACTTACTACATATAAACCAGCACAGACTGGCTTGCTTATACATAACCTAAGGAGACATTAATAAGCATGATGAGATAATTGCTGTCCCAACACCTTATAGTCTGAAGAGAATTAATCTCTCTGAGATGTTCATGCCTATCTCTGACCTACCTAGTCTAAAGCACTCCATAGACAATGCTGGGACAGGCACTCTAGGGCACAATCCATCTGACTTATTTTAAGATACCCGTATTGTTCCTCTCCAGTGACTAGGCAGAAACTGAAAATAAAGAGTCTGGCTCTTCCTATCAAGCACCTTCTCTTCCACTTTCCTAGGTGAGAAGTTTTGTAGCTTTGCTAAAAATAATGTAATTGGCTTTTCCAGGAGCATGGTAAGATAAATGGTGTGATTCATCTGACCAAACATGCCCACTGGTGCAGTTACCCACACCTGAGACAGGTATCACAGGCTTCTTTACTGTCAGTAGAAGAAAGTGGG